TATAGGATATACACTAGGTAGACAGTTGTTTAGGGAACAATGATAAGAAAGCAGTTTGTATATGTTTAGGACAGACATGCTTCTTTCTAAAGTTTCTCAGTTTTTGTTTTTTTTTTTTTTTTTGCCTTTTTTGAAACAGGAACTCACTATGTAGACCAGGCTGGCTTTGAACTTAGAGCAATCTGCCTGCCTCTGCCTCCCAAGTGCTGGGACTACAGGTATGCACCACCATGCCTGGCAAGTTACTCAGTTTTATGTTCCCTTTCAAACTTACCAAGATGTTTTCTGATTTGAGCTGTGTATGATGTGCCTAACTGTGTGCATGTGGCCTAACTATGGTGCCCATGAGAATGCCCTCTGGGTACTGGACCTGATCTAGAGGTACCTGCTGGTTAGCCCCCAGGTTATTATCCCTGTACTGGAGGGAGGGGGCCAGTGGGCAGTGTGCACGAAGACTTCAGTGAGGGAGGACTAGGGGAACTGTGGTAGATAGGGGAAAAATGGGCCATTGTAAAAGAAAGCTGCTTTTTGCCCTCAGGGTTGCTCCAACTTGTAGTTTTTGTAACAATTACTTTGATCGAGGTTCAGCAACCAGAGAAAGAATTCTTGCAGAAGCTAAGAAGTTAAAAGGCCCACCTGCGGGCTGCTCAGGGGAGGGTATGGGGTAACACCAATGAGGGAGAAAGGGAAGGAGCTAGGAAATGGGAAAGCCCCAGGAGCCTATAAAAGTCCAGACCAGTTCTCACAGGGGAGTCTCAGCTCTGGGCCCCTCCCATCCAGATGGGAGCTGTCAGTATATATCAGTAGCTCGTCTCTTATAGAATCCACATCCATCGTAAAATCATGCTTATATGTGGTTGAAAGATGCTATAAGAGCCAAGTGTGGTGGCTCATATCCAAAAATCTTAGATGTGGAGCTCAAAAGGACATTGAAATGAATTGATTGGGGGTTTGTTAGAAGCTTTATTAAAGTCATGGACAGACAGACAGACAGCAGCATGATGGGTTCTGAGGCATTCAGGCCCCAGTACCAGAGACAGATGACATGGTGGGGGCACTGAAGAGAAGAAATCAGGGCCCACATGGCAGAAATGGGGGAAGGGTCTCTTCTTATATCTTTCTGAGGATGGGGGTAGATTCACAGTATCAGCCTCCAACTGATACTGTGGTTCTCTGATTCTAGGCAGGAGGCAGGGGAGAGGGTGGGGTAGGATGTTTGGTCACCAATATCCTTTTGATGTGAACTCACTTTCCCAGGTTTGAAACCTTGGCACCTGGAAGCCTGTTAGCTAAGGATTCACAGGCAGTGTCTCAGTGGGGTGCTGTCAGTATCTGTGAGCCAGGAAGGGCTACCATAGGTATGGCGGTCTGAACAGCAGCTGGATTCTAACATTGCATCCTTACATACACCTGTAATCCCATCACCTGGGAGGCTGAGGCAGGAGGATCACCATGAGCTACAGGCCACCCTAGGGTACAAAATGAGTTCCAGGTCAGCTTGAGAGACAGTGAGACCCTGTCTTAAGCAAATAAAAACAAACCCCAAAGTTGGTTATCCCTTGGTGTCTTTCAGTCGAGTCCCAACGTTACTACTGAGTACCATCCTCTTCTTCCCTCCTCTGTGTTACCAGCAGTATACTGGGGAGATGTGCAGAGGACTCCCAGCCCTTCTGATAACTGGCTTATAAAGAATGAGAGGGAAGGATCTGATTGGAGACCACAGAGCTCTTATCTCTGCTGGGAGACAGGAGGTTTCCCAGGAGAGTTTTCCATGAAGGGGAAGCCTGGGAAGGACTCAGAGAGGTACAAGACATCAATTTCTGAGTCTCTCTAAGCCTCAATTTTAACTTTGGTGCAAAATGGCCTTATAAATCCTGAAGGCAGTGTTAAACTCCCCTCTGGGAACTACACAGCTCTCAGAATTTTTATGTTACCAGGGAACGTGGGGAAAGCCTGCTTCCTATCAGGAACCTTGCATTTTCTGGCAGCCCATTCCCTGGTTTGTCTCATCTGTAAGACAACGGCAATTGTCATTCCTGGGAGGCAGGACAGTTTTCCAGATGCCACCTGGCATTTTCTCTTTGCTATTGGTGAAATTCAGAAAGAAGTGGAGTTTTCTTTCTTTTGGTCTAGCCAAGGGCATGGAGGTTCAGAGCTCCTGTGTGGAGGACCTGGGGGCTCCAGGGATGCCTGCCTCTAGGACTTCCTGCCTCCAGGAGAGGGATGGTGGTGGTTTCAGGGTCTGATCCGAGGCAGGCCAGCACAGGAGCAGCCTCAATCCTTCCCTTTGGGAGGCAGAGACCTAAGGAGGGTAGGTAAGGAAGGAGCCTAGTAGAGATGGCAGTGAGGTAACTGTTGGGGGCTGAGCAGTGATGGTGTTGACTTGCCAAAGCCTCAGTTTCTCTGTTAAATGGGTGAGGGTAGAGCCTTGCCATAGGCTGTGAGGAAAGAGGTATACAGTAGTATATAGGACTCCTCAAGTGTTACCTGCATGGAGCAAATGGTCTTAGTTTGGGTTCCCCAGAAGCAGGCTAAGACCAGGATTTGAGTGCTATTGATCTACGAGATGACCCCACAGAACAACGGGACAGTAGGATATGACCAGAGATGGTACGGTATCTACTAGATGCTGTGGCGTGTCTGGGTCACTTCATTTCAGGAACTTGGGGAGCTGCTGGAGAACCCTGACCTCAGAACTACTTCTTTGCTCAAGGAGTGAGGAACCTGGATTTCTCCATACACCACCCCAGGAAGCAGGGGTGTGAATTGTTTAACCTGAGGAGCCTCAGCCACAGTTATGTTGGGAAAGGTCCCTGTGCCCTTGGTTGGCCATGAGATGTAGCTGCTCACATCTGGCAGTCATCTGGGATAGAAGAGACCCCTTCATCAGGACCAGGTGGCACTACAGACCAGAGGTCCTGCAGGGGTCATGCTCTGACACAGTGTACTGTCCTTTCTCAGACACCAACCTGTTTTCCTGCAAGGGCTCTTGTGTGACTGAAGGATTTGGTTGGGTGTGGGGCATGACCCAGGCCTAAAGAACAGAGACCTATTGTCTGCTCTCAGAACCTTGGGGCTTCAGGAAAGCCAGGGAGACAACGGCAGTCATGCAAGTCTGAATGGGAAGGTCCTTGGTGATAAGATGTTCCCTGAGGTCGGATAACAAGTGCCCATGACATCACTCATGATGACACTGTCTGAACACCTATCAGGTTCCTCATTTATTCCTCACCCCAGCCCTTCAAAGTAAGAACACGATTCTCCCCATTTGATAGAGAAGGACACAGAGACCCACTGAGGGGAAGCCACATCCCAAGATGGAGGCACTGAGTGGTGAGGCAGAATGCAAAGCCTGTTCCTGTGTCTCCAGGGCCATGTGACTTAGAAAGCCCATGACCCACCATGCCAACAAGATCAACAAAATGGGTGTTCTCCACCCAAAGCCCATCTGAAAGGGAGGCAGTCCTAACCATGGACACTGTCCTATAAATCCTATATGGCAAAGGTGTTGCCAGGTTGGTTCAGAGGTGCCTTAACCCCACCCAATGTCTCACCCAGGCCTTCCCAAGGCAGAACACCTCCCATGATGGACAAAGCTACACTCTGACAGCAGGAGCCACTGCCAAGTGTTTATTGATTGTAGGGGGATAGTCTTCAGAGCTTGCTCCCACATTCCCAGCTGGAACCTGGCCCGTGCTGACCAGCTGCCGTCCAGTCCATGGCTTCACCAGGAGCAAGGAGAACCAGGGTTCTAGGAAGAAGCTGGGCTGAGCTTGAGGGCACCCTGGAGTTGAAGAACAGTCAAGCAGGTTATGTTTTTTTTTTTTTTTTCTCTTGCTTGGGTTTCTGCTGGTTTTGTCTTTCATAAGGTAAGTTCTAGGGTACTCATGACCCTGAACACACCCAGAGTTCTTAGCATGTGGATGGTCTAAATGTGAACAGCAGCTTGCTCCACCATTCTGTGGCCCAGGTAAAGTATTTGTGTGTATGTGGTGGCACCCAGATACCTGAGTTTAAACAAGACTCTGTTTTTTTAAAAGGAAGTACAGTATAGGAAATGCGCCCTAGTCCATTCCTCAAGATTGTATTTTGATCTCTCAGCATCCAGCAAAGGAAACGTAGGGTAAGCTCCCACCACACCACACTAGGGCTCTGCAATTGAATTGCCTCTTCCCTCCTGCACTGGCTTAGCTGGTGTCCGTCCTTTGACTCACTCTTACCACTAGATTTAAATGCATGATGTCATACAGCTATAGAAAGGAATAGTGTGCTGTTGGCTAGAGCGAAACCAAATAAAGCAAAACAAGAAATCTGGAAATAGGTGAAAAAATGAATTAAAATCTGTGGATTTCTCCAGAATTAAACAGCTCAGGACCTCAGTGGTCCTAATGGGCAGCTTGGGGCAATTCAGGACTTGTACGATTTGACCCAAAGTGTCTCTGTAGAGCTTAGTTGGAAACTTTGTCACAGAAGGGTGGAAGTCAAGTCACCTGTGGGCTTTCTTCACTGTTAATAATTCTGTTTTCAGTATCTCTCCCTTTAAAATGGGTTGAAATTCTAACAAGCCAGAGGATTCTGTTTTGTTCATTGTGTGGCCAGCATCTGCACGCAGTAGGTACTTAATAAATGGCTGTTGGCCAGCTGACTGAGATGGGCACTTCGCTGACTGATTCTTGTAGAAGTTGGGTTCAAGACAGGTTATCAAGGGCAGCCGTCAAGTGCAAATTCCCACCTCTATCGCCAGCGTGTGTGTGCGTGTGTGCGTGTGTGTGTTATTAGAAGAGATCTCGCTGTTGTTTAGCCTCAGTTTCCCCATCTGTAAAAGGGAGGTCATGCCAGGACTAGGTGTGAAGACTGAGATGCCAGCACAGTGAGTGTAGACATGGCTGTTAAAGTTGACGCGGGGGGTCAGGTGGCCTGATACCACAGCAGCCCCTTCTTGCCCAGCAGAGGCCAGGGATTGTCACTTGCTCACCCAAGTGTTCATCAAACATCTATTTTACACCAGGCCTTGCTGACCACTGGGGACAGCTGCACGAACAACTCAGAGGTGACTCTGGTCCTCATCAATCTGAGCCACTTGGTCACACAGTTGTGTAT